TGAACTTTTAGTAAATCTTTTGCGAATTTTAACTTTTGGTGGGGAATCCGTATTACTAGTATTACTAGAATCATCTATGATAGATGATGTATTGCTCTCAGTTAAAGCTGAATCTGTCTCAGTATCTATGTTGGATTGTCTGATCCTCATACTTTTAGTAAATCTTTTGCGAATTTTAACTTTTGGTGGGGAATCATCAGATTGCGTATTACTAGAATCATCTATGATAGATGATATATTGCTCTCAGTTAAAGCTGAATCTGTCTCAGTATCTATGTTGGATTGTTTCCTGCTTCTGATCCTCAATTTTCTTTGAAATATCTTCGCAGTGTTAGTTTCTCTAATCGATAAATTCTTGTCTTGCACATTACTCAGACTTTTTCCCATGATCATCTCCACTTCTTGCGATTCGTCTTCTATAGAATTTATTAGAGAGCTTCTTATGGGACTAATTACAACCTTTAGAACCTTGTCTTGTGATAGATTCACTGCAGTCTGTCTTTCTTGCATTTGGACTTGTTTGTTGTTAATACTACTTTTATTCACAGTTACATCAACACCCATTGCAGCTTGATCATCATTAATTTTACGTTTGCCTTGTTTGGATCTCCCAGAATCGACATTCTCATCTGTTTTTAAATTTAAGGCTTTTTGACTTTCTTCTAATGTAGTTTCAGGTACTGTTTTATTATCTCGGGAAGACCTCGTATTTCCAATCACCGGGGAATTCTTGCGTGAGTTAGTTTTAGTGAAATAATTAAGAATTGGAGATTGCCTATCAATATCTGTTTTAACTGTGTTTCTTCGAGCCCGCGTAAAAATCGGACGTTCCTCGATGACTTGTGCTTCACGTTTCATCGAATTCATCTCCTCGATATCTTTTTCAATCGTGTTCAGAGTTCTCTTTCTTCTAGTGACGATAGATCTCGTTTCTGGTTTTGTAGATCTATCGTAGGTTACATTTTCCATGCGAGCTTCTTTGCGCGATACATCCGAACTCTCGTCATTTTGTTTACTGGAATGTCGCGTGATTCTTGAACTTGAACTTATTTGCGAAGAAATTTTCAATTCATCGTCAGTATCTAGCTTCAGATTCTTCGATAGATTAGATAGGTTAGGCGCACTTTCCTTTTTGTCGGACGTATTTTGTACGTTTTTTTTACCGCGTTTCGAATAATCGACCTTATTATTTAGCATTATTCTCTCTGCCATTTGCTTGAATCGTTTATTTTTCATTTCGCTGTCGGAATCATCAGAAGTGTCGACAAGATGTTTCGTCATTTTATTAGTCTTTAGAACATCTAAACTGGGCATTTCATTATCAAGCAGCGAAATCGCTGGCTTATCATGCTTTTGATTTGAGCTTTCGTTCTTTTTAGCGTTCTCACCGCTTTGCTTGCGTAGTGATTTATTCCGTACAATTTTTTTGTTTCTACCTTTTACGTTACCTCGTTTAAGTCTTTCGCTACGCACAGTCGACGTCGATGATACGGAAGGACTCGCAGGATTTGAGAGCGTCCCCGATATTTTAACCGCTGGTAAACGTGTTAAAATGTCATCGTCGCTCTCATATGATATGTCCGATGTTTGTGCACGTTCTACATCTCTTGATGAACAAGGTGCACAAACATTGGACTCACTCCCCGAGTCCTTTTCTACATTATCGACTTCGACTTTGTTCGGATCATTTCTCAAAACTCGTTTATTGCCCGCTTCCGACGCAGCTCCATATTTTCTTTTTATCGAAAGTCGAAGATTATTTTCGTTATCCCCGTTGTTATTTGAGATAGTTTCGGTTACGTTATCGTCATTTAAACTGTCTGTCTTATCTGTCACTGTATCAGTTTCATTTCTCGGTTTTGAAGTTTTTTTATCTCTTTTATTAAATTCCGTAATTGTATTATCATCTTTTTCATTATTTACTTTAGATATTTGTGAAATATTAGAGTCTTGACGAGAAGAAGTTACATTCTGGAGCATGGAGTCTACGAGCTCGTTCTCTTTCTCCTGTGCCTCTTTTAAAATATTTCTTTTCCGTCTTGTAGTAAGAGTAGAAAAATGAGTATCTGAATTTTGCGAATCAATCTCCATATTATTTACATTATTCGCTTCGGTATCTGCTGTATCACACGGAGATTGATCGCAAGGCGTGCGATTTTTCTTTTTTAATTGCGTTTGCAATTTACTATCTGTACGCAAGCTTTCGTTTACAGTGTATTTGTTGACAGGTAAGTCGTTATCACTCTGCGATGATTCCAAAATATCTTCGAGAGCCTGAGTCGACATATGTGGTGGCTCATGAATGCTGCTATTTACATTTTCAAACATTTCATTAAGTTTTTGTTCCAGACTATCATCTGCATCTGTTTGAAAAGATTCTCCGATTTTTTTGCGGCCAACATGTTTCTTTTGTCCATCTTCGATTGTGTTATTAAAGTCATTGATATCTGCCGAAGGTTTATTTGCCAAATTGCCTTGATCATGTGTGTTTTCATTGTTGTTTATAATCTGTGTCGGCGCCATATCGTCAACAGCGTCAGTTTCATTGATTTTCGATAACTGGTTGGTGCCTGATGAGTTCGATGTATCCTTAACCGCAGGACTATTCGATTGTTGCGTTAGTGCATCAAATATATCTTCAGATTCAATACTCGTGCCTGGATCATTTTTATTATCTATATTGTCGTCGCAGGACTTATCCGAAATTTCTAAAGATTTGCGTTGCTTTTTAGCGAGTTTCTTCGAATATTCCTCTGTGTCCATTTCCGGATCATCATTGATGCTTTCCTTTGATCCGTTCTTTTTCTTCGGAAGCTTGCGTATATCTTTCTCGTTGATTTCGTCCGATTTCCCTTCAAAATCATGAATGCATTGAGTGAGAGCATCGAAAATATTGTCTTCATCGTTATTCGACATATTTCCGGTATTGTTATCTCTTTCCGATGACGTTTTCGTGTGCGATTTTGGCGTAGATGTGTTAGACGCTCGTATTTCTTCCCGTTTATCGATGCCCTCGCCAAAGAATTCTAATAAATCTGATGATTCGAGCAAATGGTCACTATGTAATGAGGAAAGGCAATCTTCATCGACTCCTGGTGATGATAAATTCAAAGATCCAGGGCTACTAGATCTGGGCGATTGTGCAACGTTATCATAATTGATTTTGGTCTTAATAGTTTCTACTATATTATCTTTATCTTTTTCACTATCATCATTAATTCCATTTTTAATAGTTTTTGCTATGGTATCTTTATCCGTATTGGCTCGATCATTATTGATATCATTTACAATGTTATCCATTTGAGTTTCTACATTGGATAAGTCTTCCGCAATATCATTATTATCAAATCTTAGCGTTTCTAAATCGTTAATATTACATTCGACTTGATCTAAACTTTTCTTTTGATTCTTATTTTTATCGATTACGGATTTTTTCGTATTGTAGTCATCTTTGTTAGTACCATCAATATAATTTTGCGTTTCCGCATTATGAATATCTGTTGTTAACTTCTTCGGTGTTACATTCCGAATATTGTCCTCGCTCTTTTGAGTCTCCAGTTCGTTAATATAGCTCGCATAATGTTGCGTTTCCATATCGTGAATATCTGTCGCAGAGGTGCTAGCTACTTCATCTTGGAGATTTAACTTTGATTCTTGTTGTTTGTTAATTTTAGTATTCGCTTGAATAAGATGCGTAGATCCATCTGTGGGAAATATTTGCGTCTCTATATCATGAATAGAATTTGATGCCACCGTTTCATGTCCTTCGAATTTCTGCGTTTCTATATCAAATATATTACTAGATTTTCGGTTTTCGCTAATGTTAATATTGGATGCATGCAATACGGTGGCACTTTGTAAATCATTGCTCTTGCTGGAAGATGCGTGGGAAGTATTCTTTTTACAGATGCTTGTGGACTGATGTTGTTGTGGACTCGGCGGACGCCGAAAGACGTTGTTCTGTTCGTCTCTTTGTGTTCCAAGAATAACGGATCCATCATCGCTGGATAAATTATTCTACACAAATGTTAAAGAGATGCATTAATATACAAATGTCATATCAGATGTTAATCGTATGCACAAAATACTTACGAGAGATGAATCCGGAGTGCTCGGGATTATTATACTCGTGACTCTTTTTCGCGATGGCGCGGGTGTTTCTGGTATCACCATCGGACGATATGCGCGATAAATCGCGTGCACTCTACCGAATTTAATGATATTTCCATCTTTGAGTTCATATAAACGAGTGGGTAGTAATATTTCCTGTTAAAAAAAAGAAGAAAGAATGCAGCTGTGATTAAAATCGATTAAAATGTCAAAATTCTTAGTTTTGATCGATTTTTAATCGCAATTTGGAAATCGGCCTTTATAATTTATATCCTCCAGTTTTAATTTTAAAAAAAGTACATACGCACGCCATTTGATGAGATCATTTATATAATATAATATTATATTTTTTAAATACAAAGATAACATATAAAATATAATAAAAATACAAAATTTTATACAAGTTGAGTTTCGATCTCAAGGATCGTTATGACATAATATTTGCGTCAATACTATCTTAAACGATTAAACCGATTAAATTATTAAAAAATTTTGATTTATTCAGTTTAATGCACAAATGTCACATAGAGCAAGCATATACACACATTGCATTGAAACTGACTATTTTATTAAATTTATTTTTATATATCAAAACATGCTGAGAATATGCAGCAAAAAGATAAAAAGAAAAAATCATGCTTGAACGAATCATATTTATAAATTCAAGAATAATCTATAAGTTTTTGTCGAATTAAATAGAATTTACTATAGATATCATATTATAAATACATAAGAATAAAAAAATATATGAAAGTGATTGAATGCATATTCGACAGAAATGCAGTATGAAATGATTGAATTACATCTATCATGCAAGCATTATCAGGATATTATCTCTGAAATACAGTCATATTATTTTAGTAATCATATCGCGATGAAAATTATACATTATAGAACTTCCGCTTGATCGTCCTTATCATCTTCTGATTGTTCATGGGCTAATGTATATAATATTTATTTGTTAAGGGCTATATCTCTGGAAATTAGCTGATCCATACATTTTAAGTATATCGTTCATTGCAAAAACGTAAATGACGTTATTATAAGATGTAATTAATAGATATTATTATAAGATGTAATTTCTAAATAAAGCCTTAAAAGACTGCATAAACGAATGTAATTATAACATTTTCTTATTTTCATTCTATGATACCCTCGGTAACAAACGAGGACAAATATTTAGATATGCATTTATATGCTTCATAAGCGATTTATTAAGCATGATTCTATCAATTGGTCATCTTTGCATACAGGATTACATAACGACAAACTGTGCTCAAATATAGCGTAAGAAGCGAAAAGATACCATGCGATATAAACTGAATGTAAATAATAAAGATGCATAGCATTTATTACATTATCAAGTTTCGTCTTGTTGGAAGAATTTAGATCACAAATCCAAGTTCTTGATCCTTGATTTGTCATAGCTTCGATCACTGCATGTATTTTCGACACTGTCTAAAAAAGAATTCAGATTCAACATTAGGTTTAGTTAAGATTTATTTTATCTTGTATGGTAACCCCAAATAAAAAGTTATACATACAAAATGTTGAAAGATTATATGTTATATGTTTCAAATTTATTTTAATCTTTCTTTTACAAATTCAACATTTATTTCTACGTATTCTGTTCATCCAAACGATGAAAATTCGGGAAACAATATAAGTTCAAAGAAAATATATTGACATCCACATTAAAAAATAGCAAACAAGAGCTTTAAATTATTCTGCGAAAAAATTCGATCTTTTCGTTTGAACTCTTTGCAACTAATTTTTACTAGAAAATAATGCTACTTAATTTTGTATATAAATCCGAAATTTTTTTCAAAACACATGACTTTTATTTTTACTTTAAGAACAACATTCAACTAACACAAATCATAAAAGACATAAAACTTACCGCATCATTTATAACAATGTCGCAGCTACAAAGCCTACCAATTTTTGTGGTCCCTCTCATAATCTGATATTCATTGGAATCGATACTTAATGTTCCAACCTGAAATAATTATTTTAACAAAATATAAAATGCTTCGTCGGAACCAATTATTGTAAGTAATGCACCGTTTAAAAAAATGTAGAGTATTAATAATTCGACAAACTGATAAGAAGCTAGCAAGAGAACTTAGCAATTAAGATTTACAATTAATAATCTACTAAAATTTCACATTTACATAAAACATATAGCCTGTGATTTAATGAAATTATTTAATATAAATTATAAATTATAAATTTACTTGCACTCTATAAATTGCGCTGATTCCTAATTACCATTTCTATTTCCATTAATTATTAAGTTTTAATTTTTTGGAGCTTAGTTTTTTATAATATTATGTAGTATTACACACTGAAATATGCATTTTTTTCAAACTACCTATTTATTTTTATTATGGTAGAACCGCAGTTAGCTAGTTGTTGAAATCTTGGATTAAATATCACAAGGCTGAGATTATATGCAGATTGAAGATCGCCTTCTTATATAAATGCATTGGACATAATTTAATATCTGTACATGTTTGTAATCTTCTGATGAATTTTGATAATAACTTATTTAATTATAAATCTATTTGTGGTTTTAAACGTTTGATGAATCATTTCACCAAAAGGTTGCTACACATTGAGTTGAGAGACACCCATTGTAGATTAAGCTTTGCCCACGTTCAAATATTTAAACTTTGTCGTTCTATTTATAATTGCATTCCATATATTTATTTATATTATTTAAATTTTATTTAAATTTACTTAAATTTATTGATTTTATTTGACATGTGTCACAATGTGCTATTCTATTGAACGCGTTGCATTGATAATGCTCGATATGTGAGTCTTGCGTTTTTATTGATGTTCTTATCTACTGGAATATGTTGCTCTGAATATTATCCGTTTCAGATATCGACATGCGTTTTAATGCTACATTAGCAGACTTGTTTTAATGAAATTATTGTAATTTTTTTTTATATTTGATTACGGCATAATTTACGAAGTAATTGATGTTTAATCAACACAATTCCTTTTTATTTTTTTTTATATCGTTATATCATTAAAATATAGCTAGAGAAAAAATGCATTTAAGTATATGCATGCTTACTAACCTGTACTAGCTCTTCCTCCTCAATAGTATCTGGAATTTTCTGAGTAGGCGAAAAATCGTCATCTTCATAGATTTGTGTGGCTACGAACTCCATCGTTATCGAAACTGTTTATTCCAATAATAAATATTTATTACTCACGAGAAAGGAGGAATGTTGATATGACATTTACGTAACCTTTATCACGAATTAATTCTGAAGTTCACGAATTTATTAGATAAACATGCTCATGAATGCGTAAAAGTATATCATAAACGTAAATGCTTTATAAATAATAACTACAAAATAATTAATGTTAACACAAAACGCAACACATTTTACATTGACGTTTTCTAAACAATCGACTGATCGTACAGTCCTACAATCGACTATGATTCTTCCCGCCAATCCCGCCATAATAACACAACACATGGCTGCGTTCGAGGAGCACGTTTTTAGCGCTATGAGCGTGCTCCGTCCTTTTGTTCAACTTTCAATAAGTAAATAACAAAGATAGAACGATGCTATTAGCGCTAACAGCGTCTCTCCGAACAACAAATCAAAATATTTCATTCATTATGCACACTGGAATAAGAAGTAAATAAAGTTTTTGCAAATAGATAAATTACGTTATCTGCTGATACATACAAAGCATGTATATGTCTTAATAGATTAAGGATATATATTTCTATTATCATTAACAACCATCACAAATATGTTCTTTTAATTATATCAGAATGCTAAACCATCACAAATTTGTATGTTCTTATTTTTCAAAACATGCTGAGAATCATACAGTTAAAAGATAAAAAGAAAAAAGTCATACTTGATAAGACGATAATTAAAAAATAATTTGTAAGTGTTTATCAAATTAAATAGAGTTTATCACAGATATCATACCATAAATAATATATGATAAGAATAAAAAAGATCTATAAATGATTGAATGCGTATTCAGTAGAAATGCAGTATAAAATCAAGAAAATGATATTACGTCTATCATGCAAGCTGTATTATCAGGGCATGCATTATCTCCAAAGCACAGTGCTAATATTTTCGTAATCATACATTTCCCGAAAAAATTTCCGCGTGATTACCTTTATCTTCTTATTACTCATGTGCTAAATGTAATATTTATTTATTATTAAAAAATTCTCTCTTGAAAGTAGCTGATCCATACATTACATGGATATCGTTCATTGCAAAAATAAATAACATTATTATAAGATGTAATTTCTAAATAAAGGTTTAAAAAACTGTACGAACGAATGTAATAATAAAAATTATCTTGTTTTCACTCTGTGATACTCTCGATGACAAACGAGGATAAATATTTAAATAGATATTTACATGCTTCATAAACGATTTATTAAGCATTCAATTGGTCATCTTTGCATACGTAAAGAATTACGTAACGATAAACTGTACTCAAATATAGTGTAAGAAACGAAATGATACGAGGCGATATAAACTGAGTGTAAATAATAAAGAAATACATACGTTTATTATCAAGTTTCGTTTTGTTGGAAAAATTTAGATCGCAAATTCAAATTCTTAATCCTTGATTTCTCATAGCTTCGAGATCACTGTGTGTATTTTCGACACTGCCTAAAAAAGAATTCAAATTCAATATTAGGTTTGGTTAAGATTTATTTTATCTTGTCTGGTAACCAAATAAAAAGTTATACATACAAAATGTTACAAGATTGCATGTTATATGTTTTAAATTTATTTTAATTTTTCTTTTATAAATACAGCATTTATTTCTACGTGTTCTATTCATCAAAATAATAAAAGTTCAGAAGAAAATACTCGTATATCTTGTGACGAGAATGTTCTTTCAAAAAATGAATTGTTATAAATTTTTATTAGTATCAATCCGATCCGGTTTTTTTTTCGAAAACAGATGTTAATTATTATAACTTGAAACATACGCGACATTAAGAGTATGAAATAAAGTCATTTTCATATATATAACTGTACGCTATCAAACTTGATATTGGTTTCTCGTCTTTTAATGGCGCTTATCTAATTCCTGTGTATATAATATGAATGTACGAGGTATGTATGAGAGATGAGAGAGAACGTTGATTACTGAATATAATATAAATAACTGGCGCCGTGAAGTGCCAGTTCATAGTGATTTGCACGAAAGACAGCACGCTACTGAAAACCATGTTGATAAAGCTACCGATTGTCCTGCTTTGTTTAAGCTTCGCCGTATTAGCCAATTCAGACGAGGCAGCTCCAAGGGTCAAGATTCCTTTAGGAGGACTAAAGGGCTATTATAAGATATCGCAGAATGGCAGAAAGTACGAGGCATACGAAGGCGTCCCTTATGCATTGCCACCTATTGGGAAATTAAGATTCAAGGTACACACATATAATCTGATATCAATTCTTGACTTCAATATTTTTGCAGCTATCTTGAAATGGCATACCTTATAAAATAAAACAGGATTAGATCATGACATAATAGATACTAATAATTTTATATTTGATAAAAGATGTTAAGTATTCCGTTAATTGTTTTTCATGATTTAGAAACAATTTTTATAAAAATTTTCTCTCATTAAATATTCGTAAATGATGCCAATTAAGAGTATTTTCTCTCATGTTTTTTTTTTCTCGCAGCCTCCTCGACAAATACCAGCATGGATCGGCGAACTACCAGCTACAAAGTTCGGTTCTTCGTGTATTCAATACTCCCAACAACCTTACAATCCTACCGAAAAGGTTGAAGGTGCCGAAGATTGCTTGTATTTAAATATTTACGTGCCAGTACGGGAAAAGAAGGAAAATAATATTTCTATGCCGGTGTTGTTTTGGATCCATGGTGGCGCTTTCCAATTTGGTAGCGGTATATTGTATAACGCCAAGTATTTGATGGATAGCGACGTCATACTCGTTACGATTAACTATCGGTTGGGATCGATGGGTACGTAATATCATCGTACAATGTAATATGGGATTATTTCAACTCTTATCAAAATCTCTTATTAAAAAAAAAAATTATACAATATTTTCGTATATTAAAATCTATTTGTCCAGATGTTACAATGCAGATAGCAGAAAATTTTTGTTTCAAAACTCGTTGTCTCTTTTGTCTTCTCATGTTTCTAAGTTTTTGTCTTAAATCATAAAAAATATTAGGTTTCCTCAGCACGGAAGACGAAGTGATTCCTGGCAACATGGGTCTAAAGGATCAAAGTATGGCACTTCGCTGGGTATCCGAGAATATCGAGTGGTTCGGTGGTGATCCGAACAGAGTGACCTTGGTTGGTTTGAGCGCCGGTGGTGCAAGTGTGCATTATCATTACTTATCGCAAATGAGCGCGGGGCTCTTC